TCAATCAAAACTCATTCGATTTCAAGTTTCTCCACCTGTTAACCAGTTTATCTAGTCATCAATACAAACAAAAGCTCAACTATTTTTTTTCAATCCTGTGTTATATCTTTCGTACTATGCTTAACAAAGGCCAGTTCTATTTCAAATATTTATAACCTGTATCGGGGGAAGAGAAAGAAGTATAACAGATACCAAAGAGCTGCTCTGTGCCAGGTCCTATGCCACTGACAGGACTCCACAGCAGAAAAAAGCCTATGGGTAAAATGACACTGTTCTTACTTCATAAGGAAATCGGAATTCTGAAAGCTTGTATAACCTATGCACAATCACAGGCTCACCAAAACCCACCATACTTGTATAACAGATGCATTCAGGAATAAGCTAAGCAGTGTTGCATTTGGGGGTCTATTAAAATAAGTCCTAAAATAGATCTTATTTTGACTAGATTTTATCATTCTATTTTTCCTTCTCTAATCTTTTTTGCTACTGACTTAAATTTAGGATCACTAGTACTACCAGGCAAGGAGCACTGCTTCATTAGAACTCTTCTTAAAAATATTCAAAGTTACAGCTAGATGAAAGGAATAAGTTCTATTGTTTTATGACACGAAACTAAAAATAAAAGGAAAAATAAATAAATACCATGAATGAAATGAAGAAACATGAAAGAAAGAAAGAAAGAAGTCGAGCTACAGTTGGATGCAGACTGCTCCGAAGATCATGATCTTGGCCTTTCTGTCACGTTACTTTTGAATGGAACATCAGTGAATTAGCGTCTCTCAAATCCCTGATTCTAATAAGATCACATCTCCCCCTGAAAAGAGATCTTGGTTTTCATGTTCCAAAGCCCACTCCTTGCCTATTTATAGTACAGGAAAAATAAAGACAAACGTCGTTCATGTCTGGGCTTTGAGAAGCTCTCGGTGGTTCTTTGGCTACACCTCAAAGTCCGCTCTCCAGCTCTTCCACTCCTTCACAGTGGGTAATGGAAGGAACACACTCAGCAGGTGTTAAGTGAGAGAGCCCACCCGCAGGGTGCCCTCAGGCCACCCTCAGACCTAAATAGATTTTTGTTACATCAACCACACCACTGGGGTTAAAAAGAAGCCCACACTATCACATCAATTTTTCCAGTTGGGACCTAGAAGGTATGAAATAAATGATGAGTTCAGAAAAAGTGTTTAAGAAGTTTCAAACAATGCCCTTGGCCTATAATGAAAAGAAGAAAGAGCAGGGTTCCCCTGGGTTCAACCCTTGCCCTGTGGCCCTGTTCTCCCTGGCTGTGCCCATTCCTCCCACCTCCCTCTTGCAGCCCTGACTCCTAAGGCTCTCCATTTCTGCTCCTCATGAAGCTTTACCTGTTCTGAAAGTACTCCAAAGCCCTCTCTTCTAATTTAAATTTCCCTCTCCCTGTAATCCATTCTTCCACCAGGCTGGAATTAGCCTCCCCAATGTATTAGATTGGATACGATGTCCTCTTCGTCCCTTCTACCTAAAAGTTTATTATAAAATCAACCAACCTACTCTCGACCATCTCCATACCACCCCAGAGGTGTCTGCTTGCCCTGAGAATGGGGAATTTAACCGTGGTAGAATGTTTATGTCCCCGTCCCCAGCCTGCTGTCCCTCCACGTATCACTGGTCTGGGAGGAGGAAAAATCAAGATGCCTTGTGGAAACTCAGTCACCAAATGACAGGTGAGAAAATAAAGGGAGGTGGAAAATGAAAGGAAGAGGAAGCCACTCTGAGACCACTCTAAAACCCCTACACGCGTAACTGAACAGCTCAGAAAGACAGGTCCACGTGTGGCCACAAACCTCCTGCCCAGGGGGTAGACACAGAAGAAATCAGCCATTGTTCATCTCTGTCCTCAACGGAAGTGAAGATTTAGAATGCTCTGCTTCAAAAGATTAATTACAATAATAGCTCTCTCCTTGGCCTATAAAGACCTCCACCTTTTCTAAATCTGGATAAAGTTACCTTAAAAAGAAAAAAGATCTCTAGGCTTAACTTGTCTTAAGAGTAGGCACTATACGTCACTGATAAACACACGTAAGATAAATGTTAACAACATACTTGTATGAAGAAAAGCCGTGCTATGAAGTAAAGACAGAAAACAATTAATGCTGCCAACTCTGACCCCTGCCCAGCCCCAAGAAGTACCAGTCTCCACAAAGGTCTCTCTCCCCTCACCCACAGTGAACTACAGTGGCTTGGACTCAAGCAACTGGGTTCAAAGTAAATAAAATCACATCTTTTTCTATTACATTGTGTTTATGGTTTTTTTTTTTAGTACATATAATCATTTTCTTTGCAAATACAAGCTAACTTAACAGCATAACTGATCTAAAAGGTTTCTGTCAGCCGACCTAGCACATTACCACTCCTGTAACACTATCTCATGACCAAACATGTTTCAATAATTTACCAACTTTTAGAATCAACCTATTTATACTTAGAATACAGCTCCTACCTATATTTTAGAGAGGAAGTTTTCTACAGGGAGTATCAAATGAGCACAAGCCGGTGCCCAAGAAGGCAGCTTAGAAAGGCAGCAAAATGTGCCAGATTTTAAAGTCAACACACAGCTTTCTAGGACATCAATATCTTGGGATTTTGACACCAACTTACGTTTAATAGAAGGTACTTTATCGGTTGGAATCATCTTAGAAAATTGGGAAAAAATGTTAAAACACAGTAGGCAAATGTACTATGATAAGCCAGTACATTAAATATCACTGAAGAGAAATTAAAAAAAAAAAAAGAAAATACCAAAAAAAGTACCAACAAAAAATACAAAAAAAAACACAAAAAAGTACCCCCCAAAAGATAGATATATATATATACATATATATAGCAAATTAATGGGTCTCAAGGGGCAGACTTTTCTTGACTATTGAAGTCAGGAAAATTATCCCCCTAGAATGGCTCTGATTGGCAGATATTTTCTGAGAAAGGACAGCTGAGTTAAGGAAAGCCTGTGGTCATTTTATGTCAAAGGCTCAAATAAGTTGTTTCCTCTCTCTCATTCTTGCTTTTACTTATTTATTTATTTTTGCCTATGGCTACATTGCACCTGCTACTCCCAAAATATATGCTCATGGCAGTGTCTTAGAGGGATAAAAATCACACAAAAGAAATGGACACAGTTGAATCTCTTATGCAACTCATTGACTAAATATGCCTGTAGTAATTTTTTTCAACACAACTTGTCAGGTTAAAATTGTAAATGACTTTATGCTGCTGGTATCCATTTCATTGGGCTATTAGAATGGTCAGTATATCTAACTTAGGAAAGATAAAATGACAGAATGTCCCAGGGATCAATAGGCCCCTATTTTTGCCTTGATGTAAAAAAAAATCCCCCTTTTCCTTGATTGTCTGGGGGAGTATCTTCTGTTTATTCTATTCTATAAGTTCAAGTATTAGAGAAAAATCCAATAGCAACAACAAAAATTGGTGTTACCTATGTGCAAAGTTAAGCTATGAACTCTGAAGTAGAACATGCTTACTGTGGTCAAAAAATATAAACCAGGTATAAATTTAGCAACAACTCATCATATTAGATATCATAACCTTTGGCATTGGCATTTTCCAGTATCATTGCAGATAGCACTGGTAAAGATGGCAGAAGTAATCTAATCCTTTAACACCCCTGTTCCAAACAGAAGTGCACTTCAGCAGAAGTTTCAGCAGAAGCAACATCTTCACACTTTTAAGAAACCAAGGCCATCTTTTAAAAGAAATAGTGCTAGTGCATTATGCATACTCAATGGTTGAGGAAGAGTTTCGATACCAAGTCAATCAGTTAATAATATCACTGTATATTCTGGAACATCACTATGGACCCCATAAATATGCACTATTATGACATGTTAACTAAAAAAAAATTAATAATAATATCTGCTTTAGGAAACCTTAAGAGTAATGATTTACTTAAGATTTCAGAATGATAAAAAAAAAAAGACTAACACAACTTAATATCATCCATCTTTAGAAGGAAGCACATAAAAACGGTCTTGTTTTTTAAAACTATAAGATAGCACATACATTCTTCCTAATCAGTGTTTTTAAAGTGGTCTCTTTCAGGATATGGGATTCTAAAAAATGTGTCTAGATCTACCACCCTGTAGGTAGCAAAAAGAAACAAACAATTACAAGATAATCCACAGCTTAAAAGCACCCACAAAAATGTAAAACATGAACATGGCTCGGAGATCACTCACATACACATGGTTACCAAAGTCCTTCTCCTTCATCTATGAAAAAGGAACACACTATCAAACTGGTGAAATGCCCCAATAAAATAGGAGAAAGGCAACAGGACACTGGAACTAACTACTGAGATGGTTCAGCATCATGTCAAGCCTGGAAAGAACAAAATCATCCTGCAAAACTATTTCCTGGCATCAATTTGAAATATGAGAAGGCAGAATTATAGTACAAAGGAAAAAAATAAAATGAAAATAAACCAAAGACTTTAAAGTATTTGGAAGCTTCTCTGCCAATCTCATTTTCATGGCCTTCCCCCATTATAAGTTTTACCTAATACAAGATAATATTACGTAAATAATTAAATCTTTAAGAAATAAAAAAAGATTCAATTGGGCCTTTTAGTTTCCATTTCCTTTCTCAGCCATGTGCCTTCTACTAAGACCAACTTTTGGCCAGCACATAGAAGGTAGCCAGACATTTCAATGAGTTAGACAGGAAAGCCTCAATGAACAAACCCTGGCACTCATAAATGAAACAGTCTTTTAAAAACCAAACAGCCAAAACAAAGGGTAAACAATGCTTCCTGAAAAAGAAATTCACTTTAAATAAAAGGAGAGATACACACAGTTCTCAAGGATCATTAAGGAACCATTTTAAATTAATACCTTTCAGATCAAACTGAGAAACTGAACATAATTTCCCTACACATCCGTGTGCACACATCCCCTCTACAGTTCTTTAGCAGATTCACACTGCGTATTATTGATACACGTACCACCACTTACTTGCTTTCTTCTGTAATGGGTAAACTGAGAGAGTCCTAAAACGGTTGCAAGAGCACCTCCTCCAACAAGAATAGTCCCTTTCACGGCCTTCTGAAATGCCATTTCTTAGCCTAAAAGGAATAAAAAAGGGGGAGAAAACAAAAAGAAGTCAACTGGGATTTTTATTGCATAACAATCCTAATAATAAAAAGGCACTGTGTGGATTATGCAACCATGTTAAACAAGAAAAGAAAATACATAATAAGGAAGTTACGAACAGGCCAACTTGTGTACTGCAACTCAAAACTCATAACCAAAGAAACCTAGACAAGGGTTTTGATTATATAAAAGTTACTTTCACATCCAACAGGAATTAAAGAAAGGAAAGCCAATTAAGAGACAACTGAGGATGTTTGAAAAGTGTAAAGTCAAGAGAGCCCTGAAAAGAAATGTTACTGGGTAATGGACAAACCTGCGGGCTGTACTTGGAAATGGGTTCCACAGCTAATCCCCTCCAGAGGAACTAACTCGGTAAAATTCTTGGGTCACTCAGCAGGACTTAAACCTCAGGCTGTCCTCGGGTTCTCTGGCAAGAGTTTAATTCAAATGGTGGTAAACTCCCACCCTGAATTTTTCCCTTTCTGGTGAAGTTGTCACCAGAGCCAAAAGCCAACACACATTTCTATCATTAAGAGAGTCTGCACTTTATAGTTTAAAAAGTCAAAGGATACCATACATTGCTGCTTTCACAAATGCTGCACTTAAACGAATGCAATTGCTTCATTAGGGGAACTTAGAGAACACATTCTCTTCTGGCCAGAGTTGCATGACACCACAATTTCAAGAGGAAACCCTCCAGACCGAGCACTGTTTCATGCTCACTGCATGTTTCTTAAAAAGGTTCTGCCCTGTCTGAGCTCTGGACTATCTTTCCCCTCACTTGTCTTCCATTACTGAATTGATGGAATTGTTTAAAGTTTTTTTTTTTTTTTTTTTGAGAACTTAACATTATTTTACTTTTTCAGAAACCAAAAATATTGCATAAAAAAATGAAAATTCCATCCAAAATTGTCTTGCCCACATTTATTCTGTTAAGCATAGAAAGATAACACTGTGTGTGAACCCCTAAGAAAAATTCTTTAAGTCAAGTAATTTGACCTGCCTCAGAATTTCCATTCACAAAAGCAGCTGGCACACCCACGCTTCCCAGGGAAGACGCTGCTACTCTCTATTTTCCTGTATGAGTGGAGTTCTGACCTATCTGAACAACACAACTTACAGATAATTATCTCACCACTCAACAGCGTATTTATTATGAAGGCAATTTAACTTAGGATACTATAAAACCTAGTATCCACCTAGTATCTGGATTCAAATTATGGTACAGTTAAATGTTTGGGTCCATGCTGGATGGATAGTATCTATTATCATAGTATCCTAAATTAAACAATTTCAGTACAGTTGGTAACTATGATTTTACAGAAAATTCATTTTGGAATACTACAAATTCTATGCTAAAATAAAAGTTGGCATTTCTTAAAATTTTATTTTTTGCTTTAATCTCCTTCCTGGCAAATTCCTAAATTCTAACATTCATCGTTGTCATTAAGATTCTTACTAGGAAAATATTTCACATGCACATGCAGTCTATGGCTGCAGACCTCTTCTTTGCTCTATCAACCACCTCCTATTTCCCAAATTATGCAAGATAGCTGAAATATGTATTGGCGAAGGACCATTCAGTCAATCCTAAGCAAAATCTTCTATCCTAGGTTGTACTGATAGTAAAAAATCTTAATTTAGTGAGCACCCATTTGTCATAGCTCATCTTCATCGTTCAAAGTACTGCTATAAATAAATGTTCACTGCCTATCACACAGCAGTGAAAACCCTAGCAGCCCAGAGACAGCATGTGATCAAGGCTAACTGGGTTTCCGACACATGGGCACATGGGGACAAAGAATAGAGTTTCAATTCTATTTACCTAAATAGTACACGTGCCTGACCCATATAGAAGATCCCGGTGGTCCGTAGGATGTGAATGCTGTAACTGACTCAATTGAGCTTAGTATCATTGCGTCTGCCTTATTGACAATGTCACCATTGACCTCATAAAGGGTACTACCAGGTAACAACATGGTCAGCAGAGGGATGCTGTATTATTAACTGTGATATAACACAGTGAAAATGTCTCAGTGCAGGAGTGTTCAGCCAGTGAAGTTTGAACAGAGTTTTTTGAAACGTGTGGGTTTCCATGTTCCCTTACTGTATTATTTCAATTTGATTTGTCAGAGACGAAAAACTGCAAAGGGGGATTTTTCACACATTTTCTCAGTGAGCCACTAATACTAATGAAAAACTGCATTCACATATTATTTTGCAGAGTTACAAATAATACCGACTATAATCAATAGAGTTTTCTTTTCCGACAATTTCATAAAATAACCTCTGCTAAAGAGCGCACTATCTCTACAGTGATCAAGTCCTTCTGTAAGATCGCTTAGTCCATAATAATGAATAAACCACTTTTACAGGTTATTCAAGACCAAAGGCAAAGAATCAGTTCCACCTGGCTTTCCTAAGGTTACCACTTTTATTGTTGTTATTGTTACCATAAAAGTTAGAATGACAAGAGTTGCCATTGATTATTTGCTAGGTAATAGGTACTGTGTGCTTTTAATGCTTGAAACACATCAGCTCATTTCAGCCTCATAGCATCTAATTTCATAAATGAGGCACTCGTGGTTTAGAGAAAATAGGAGATTTGCCCAAAGTCACTTTCTGGTAAGAAAACCATGACTGTATTTATGCTCTTGACCACTGGGTGGTCCTCCCTTACCTTTGGTCTAAAGAGGCAACTTCTCCCCCAAAAGCTATACCATACTTCGCTGTCACTCCAAAAGAAGACCCTTTTCTCAAATAATCACCCAAGGTATACAGTCTCTTGCCACTTGGGTTTCTCTCAGAAAATGATGGAGCTTCTGACAAAGTATCTGCTAGTAATCTTCTGCCAAATAATGTAAGAACTTTATTTTAATGTTGAAAGAAATAGAAACTACTTGTGTGGATGACATGCATCCATTTACATACCACTATAAGGTGAAAAGCTTTCACAATGATCAAGAGAAGAAAGGTGATATTCTTCTAAGTAAAAGGTATACTAGGAAATTAGCAAAGAAGGGAATCAAAAACATGAACAAATCTTCACTTTTTGCAATTAAAAGTTGGAGAAAGCAAGACAAAAATTATCCAAAAAAAAAAAAAAAAAAGCTTTGTTACTACAGCTTAGTGTGTAAGTTTTGTTTTTTTTTTTTTTTTTGAGACAGAGTCTCACTATATCTCCCTCAGTAGAGTGCCATAGCATCACAGCTCACAGCAACCTCAAACTCTTGGGCTTAAGCAATTCTCTTGCCTCAGCCTCCCAAGTAGCTAGGACTACAGGTGCCCACCACAAGGCCTGGTTATTTTTTTGGTTACATTTGTCATTGTTTAGCTGGCCCAAGCCTCGCTCGAACCCACCAGCTTCAGTGTATGTGGCTGTGGCTACTCACTGAAATACAGGCTTAATATATAAGTTTTACAGCCTATTAATTAAATCACATATACACTGACTCAGGACTGGTTTCTTCAATTGGCACAGACCAGTGCCAGCCCTCTAATTCTTACAAGGAGAACACCAGGTCAGCTGGCAAAACCTAAACAAAATGGTACTCAACTAAATATATCTGTGAGTTTATCAACTGCCCATAAGGAACTTACAGTCTATTTGTAGTCTTAAATATCAGAGTCTGTCTCGTAACTGTCTTACAACTAGTTGTGCCATAGTGAGTGTTATAGATACTTTAGAACAGTGGTTCTCAACTTGTGGGTCGTGACCCCTTTTTAACAATGAAAATACATTACAGCATTAAGAAGATTGAGAACCACTGCTTTAGAAGAAAAGAAAGCAAGGTGATATATCAGTATAGTGGAGCAGGAGGATCCCTTGAGCTCAGGAGTTCAAGGCCCAGCCTGAGTAGAAGCAAAACCCCATCTCTACTAAAAATAGAAAAATTAGCTTGTAGTCCCACCTACTCAGGAGGCTGAGGCAGAGGGATCACTTGAACCCAGGAGTTTAAGGTTGCTGTGAGCAAGGCTGACGCTTTGGCACTCTAGCTTGAGCAACACAGTGAGACTATGACCCCCTCAAAAAAAGAAAAGAAAAAAGAAAGTCCAGGTCAAGGATGAGGAAGGCCCATGCCCGGTGGCTCACACCTATAATCCTAGCACTCTGGGAGGCCGAGGTGGGTGGATGGATTGCCCTGAGCTCATGAGTTTGAGACCAGCCTAAGCCAGAGCAAGACCCCATCTCTAAAAATAGCTGGGTGTGGGCGCCTGTATCCCAGCTACTCAGGAAGCTGAGACAAGAGAATCACTTGAGCCCAAGAGTTTGAGGTTGAGGTTGCTGTGAGCTGCGACACCATGGCATTCTATCTACAGTGACAAAGTAAGACTCTGTCTCCAAAAAAAAAAAGAAGTGAGGAAGATTCTGTTCATGTGAAGTAAGATATTTCTTCTATGTTATTCTTTTTTTTTTGATTGCATAAAATTTTTCTTTTTTCATTTTTTTATTAAGTCATAGCTGTGTACATTAATACAGCCATGGCGTACAGTGTGCTGGTTTTATATACAATTTGAAATATTTTCACCAAACTGGTTAACACAGTCTTCATGGCATTTTCTTAGTTATTGTGTTAAGACATTTATTTTCTACATTTAGAAAGATTCACATGTACCCTTTCTAGGTTATTCTGTTGGCAATGGGGCTATAGATCTAAGAAGCAAGATATTTTCTTCCATAATGTACAAAAAGTGTTCCAGTTGATGTTTGTGTTGAAGCTTATGATGAGGACAGAGACCCATCAGACGTAATAACATAGTCCTTGTGTGAGAGGATAAGAGCTTGGTTTAAGGCAACCCTGGAAAAGTGTAAAAGCAGAGACTGATGCTTTGCCAAAATCTCTTAGGACAGCACTCATTTAGAGATTATGACAGGACCTGACAACCGATTACAGCAGGAAGCCGGAAAAGACTGAACACAACTAAGAGGTTTTAGCCTGGTCATCAGGGGGCTGGCCCCAACGTGACAGTA